ATACATCTACTCCTACATGTCTCTGCGTGAGTGCAGCTACAGCGTGCGCTCTCAGGACATTATTACCTGCAGTGTTCCCTCAGTGAGGACTGAACTAGGCAAAAGAGCCGTCTCCTCCTCCGCTCCTGTTTCCTGGAATATCTTGCAAAAAGATCTGAAGCTCTCGACCTTGACCTCTCTAAGTGGATTCAAACAGCTGCAGTTCATGGCAAAACCTGTTTTTAGTATTTTATATCACTTTACATTGTAGCTGTTTTTGTTTTGTTTTTTTAATATAATTTTCTTCCATTTATTTTTCAATTTATATGCTTTTTGTGATTGTCTGTTGTTGTCATCATTCTGTTATGACTCGAGGAACCCAGAGTGGTATGAGACCCGGAACGAGACAGACACAGGCAAGTACAAAAGTGACAGTGTTTATTATTTACAGTGGTAAATGTACATTAGCTTCTCTGCAGCTCCTGGAAGAGGAGGGAGATGGTCAGAGGTGGTCCACAGATGGTCAGGCAATATTAATGTGATGATGTTTGATCTCTTACAGATTTGAAGATCTCCTTAGGGTCCACTCCAAAAACTTAGAAGAGCTCCAGAGGGGGACAAGGCCAAGGAACCAACAGAGCGAGGAAGGCTGGCAACTGGTGGTTGGCAAGGCACGAGGAGAACCAGGACAGGACCAGGGAACCAGGACCGAGGAGGCAGGGACACTGGAGACAAAAAAGTAAGTAGAGTTACTTAATACTAACTTACAGGCCGGAGACAACACTACCATTAGATGGTCAATGCTCCAGCGAAGAGTAACACTGGACTGCAGCCTTGTGTAGGAGATGATCCTCATCAGGTTGATGGCCGACAGCTGTTGAAAATTAGCGGCCATCTTGGACGAGGAGCTGCAGGCAGTGATACTCTTACACATTCTTTGTTAAAATCTGGTCTCTCTTGTAAATTTTTCATTCATTCAACCTTTATTTAGACAGGTTAATCCCACAGAGCCTCAAGGACTCATTTACAAGAGAGACCTGAATGAGTCCTCGTGACTCAACGAACCTGTATAAATAAAGGTTATACCAATATACATAAACGGCTAGAAAGCAGCCATATTTACAGATACTGAACTAAAACTTGGTGTGGTAGTGGCTGACAGTCATTTACAACACATAGTCTTAGCACTAACAAATGGAGCAACATTTTGTCTTCAGACTGTGGCAATAATGTTGTCCTGAGTCATTCCAGTTGACCGTCTTTGGCTTTATAACTCAGTTACTTTAAAAAAAAAATCTATGGTGATCTGTAAACTAAAAGATTTGCCTCCAAACAACAAATTGTG